AGCAAAGATTATGACCATAGCAACAAGTGGGCAGTCTGGAAGTGGGTCTTATTTGCCATCGGTCCTTAGGGTCTAAATATCTTTTGGAACCAACGGATACTCTTCTCATTTTGTGGTCTGTCATCTCACTTGGTTTCTGCCAAAGACTAGTGTTTTTGTGGTGCTTGTGCCTTGTACTAAAACTCCTCCGAAACCAATTAGACGCTTTTCAGCCCAGGTTTGAGAGAGCGGCGGCGGAAGGAACAGCCTCTGAGCCGTGTCTGAGGGGTGGCAGTGCTAGCTTTCATCCTGAGACAAAATGCTCTTTTTACCATCAGCTTTCTCTCTGCTGCCAATAGCAGGTAGTGAAAAGAGGATTTTGTATCGGAACAGTCAACCTAAGTGGTAAAGTCCCAGTGGAGAACCCTAAACTGTATCATGTATACAAACACACATCATTTCAATGGCTTACATTTAATGTACAAAATTTTATTTTTAAAAAGTCAATGAAAACACTTGCCACTTTTGCCTCTTATCAATAATCATTCAATCACCTTGGAAGCTAAAGATTTTACAACACTGTTAAGACAGAGGTACAGGGATACATTTAGAAAAGAACTCACCCAGCCCCCACTAGCAAAGCCTGGGACCCATTCCCCTCATTTTCCTGTTGGTCTTGTGATCAATGCTGTGCGGCAACTAAGTAGTGAGCCTGCAAATGTGTGGGGAGAAAACTGAGGTTCACCACTTTATCACAGGCTCTTCTCAATGGGAGTGATTTTGCCCTTCCAGGGAACATCTGGCACTGTCTAGACTAGAGACATCTGTGTCACAACTGAGGAGGGGTGGAGGGGGAGAACAGGCCTATTGGCATCTGGTGGGTGGAGGCCAAGGTTGTTCCTAAACATCATACAGTGCACAGGACAGTGCCCTACAGCAATGAGCGATCTGGCCCAAGATGCCAGTGGTGCTGGGATGGAGAAATTCTGCTTTACAGTCCCATTTCTGTTGTGTGTGTGTGTGTGTGTGTGTGTGTGTGTGTGTGTGTGTAACTGCTGGGGGAGATTTAGAATCAGAACCAACAATACAGTTATCAGCCCTCACCAAACACTAGAATCTGTCCAACAGCCAGACTGACCACACTGCGGGAGAGGGGGGGCGTGGTGGTGGTAAACTGGGGAGCTATTCAACAGTGATCAGCCCTGAGACTCTGGTCATAGCCTGCTGACTCCTCAGGGCATACAAGTTGGGAAAGTGCCTAAAGTGCCAGGATGTTAAAAAAAAGAACTTAAAAAGTTAATCAAGAATTTTTGTAGTTGTCATAATTAGTAGCAATTTCTTGCAGCAACTGCCTGGGAAATTGTGATGTTTTTGTTATACATTTTTCCCCTTCTTAGTACACCTTAAAATCCCTTCAGTTAATTTGTGGTGTGGATACTGCATGCAATTCTTGAAGCTTGTAGTGACTGATACAGCATTTCATACTGATGTTAACAGACCCTGTAACTGGAATGAACTGTGGTAGTGATACCAAAAAATCTATTTGAAGAAAACTTAGCCCTAGCCAGTTTGGCTCAGTGGATAGAGCGTCCGCCTGCAGACTGAAGGGTCCCAGGTTTGATTCCGGTCAAGGGCCTGTACCTTGGTTGCGGGCACATCCCCAGCGGGGAGTGTGCAGGAGGCAGCTGATCGGTGTTTCTCTCTCATCAATGTTTCTAACTCTGTCTCCCTCTCCCTTCCTCTCTGTAAAAAACTCAATAAAAATATATTTTAAAAAAAGAAAACTTAGGTTTTTTTCTATACTTTGTTTATAATAGGAGCCTATGTGGAGAAAAGAGCACAAAATAAGAAAGTTGGTTTAGTTTACATTCTCCGAATTTTTTAGCATAATTGGAGGTTATGGAATAAAGTAAAAGAAAATGATCTCCCGTAAATATTTCTGCTTTCCCTTTCAAAGCTCATCAGGCTTCTTTTTTCTTTTCTTTTTTTAAAATCTTCATCTGAAGATATTTTTCCATTGATTTTTTTAAGAGTGGAAGAGAGAAGGAAAGACCGAGAGAAATATCGATGTGAGAGAAACAAATGGAGAAAGCAGTCATTATGCCAAAACAATGTGATTTAAGAACCTAGCTTTCTTAAATCAACAAATGGTTGCCTCCTGCACGCACCCTGACCAGGTCCCGGGCTGGGGAGGATCCTGCAACCGAGGTATGTGCCCCTTGACTGGAATCAAACTGGGACCCTTCAGTCTGCAGGCCGAGGCTCTATCCACTGAGCCAAACCAGCTAGGGCAAGGCTCTTTTCTCATCAAGCCTCAGGCATTGAGTTTAGCGCGTTGTTTGCTGTAGGTTTCTTTCCCATTTCCAGTTATGAAATGCAGGGAATGGTTTTTGTGCAGACAGAGAACCCGGGTCAGTGAGGCAGCCCACTCTTAGTGGCTCACTCACTAAGTGGGGGTTGACTTCACGGGTGGTCTGAGGCAGCCCGTTCTCAGTGGCTCACCCACTAAGTGAGGAGATGACTTCATGCTGCTGAAGCTGCTTCTAGTTAGTTCGTGCTGATAAACACCAAAGAGTTGAGAAGGTCTATGCGTGAGCACTGGTAGAGCGCCCGAGCCAGCTTTCCGACAGTGGCTCCCTTACTGCCTTCCCGCATCAGCCACTTCTGGAGCATCTGGTAAACCTTCTCTTTTAATCCATCTCTCTCATAGTCATGGTCAATTTCATCAATCTGAGATTCAGTGAAGCCCAGTTTACGGGCACAATTTTTCCAGGTCCTTCCCAGATTTTCCCTGACTGGGTCCAGGTGTTTATCAGTCAGACTAGTGGTATTATCTGCCAAAAAGAAAGGAGAAGACATCAAGCTGAAACCCATCTGAACATTCTAGCTTCAAAAACCTGTATAAAGTGAAGAGCACCTGGAGTCCAGTGGAAAAGATAACTTCTTCATTATAAGGCTCTTGACTCATTGGGGGGTACTTTACATTAGGGGGATTTTTGTGAATTAAAATAAGGAACCTCTTCCTCCTAGCAAATGCATCTCTGAGCTGCAGCTGATGGCTTTGGGATTAAAACCCTTGCCTGACTAGTAGGCTGTTTTAGACAACCTTAGCCAGCGGTCCTGTTTATACTAGATCTTCCTGCTGTAAAGGGGAAACACCATTTCTTTCCTTCCGGGCATTTTTCACTTATATATAGCCAGAGTTAGGGTCACTCAACTCCTGATCCCCTTCCCCAAACAGTTCTCTTTCCTCTTAATCAAGGAAACTGAGACCATCAAGTGCAAAACTACCTACTCAATGACAATGTCTCCCCTGTCTTTTAAGGGATGAGGCACGTATACTCTTCAAGGCCTATTTCTGGATCCATCCCTCCCTGCCCCAACTGTTGTCCTCTCTTCTCCAATAGTCATAACCTCCCTCTTTCTACTGGTTCCTGCCTTTAGGCCTTCACAAACATGACAAAAAGAAACAGAAATAGAAAATAATCACCACAAACAAACCATACTCCTCGATCCTCATTCTACCTCAGAAAGCTGAATATAAGGAAAAACGACTGTACTATGAAAACCCTGGTCAAAAGAGGCTGTTCTGCTGGTCCTCAGCTCCCCGTAATGCAGCTGTTACCATCACCACTGGACGTCAGCAATCCCCAAACCTCCCGAGATATTTGACAAATCTCGTCACTACCTCTCTGCAAGAGGGAACCCTAGGTTTCACCAGATTCTTAAAGATACCCCTTCTCTCCCAAATTTAGGAACCTCTGCTCTAGGTATTTTAAAAACTATCCTTCAAGTGGGCTAGACCAGGTCTGTGGCCCAACGCTGGCCTGTGGCCTACTTCTGTAAACACTGTTTTACTGGAACCTAGCCGTCCACACACACATTGTCTGTGGCTGCTACTGCACTCCTGTGTAAGTAGTTGCAAGAGAGACTTCAAGGCCAGTGAAGCCTAAAACATTTACTATCTAAACCTTAATAGAAAAAAATTTGCAACCCTAGGGTTAATCAGAAAGCTAAGTTCTTAAATCACATTGTTTTGGCCTGACGACTGCTTTCTCCAGGTTGTGTTTTGGGACTAATGTTATATAGTGGGACCCTATACGAGAAAGTCCTCATTTTCATTACAGAGGTGCTGTTAAGGGCACAGTCTCCTATCGTTTACACAATTCCTTCTGATGAAGACCTGAAGGATCTCTGTCCTAGGTCTGGATAATGATGTTGATGATGATGATGATCTAATCCTTTTGTAGATCTTACTATGTGCCAAGCAGTGTTCTAAGCTCTTTATACATCTTCACTCATTTAATTTTCACAGCAATCCATGAATTAGCTTTCCCATACTAAATATAAGTAAATTACAAAGACATTATATGGAAATTACACAGATATTTTACAGAGGAAACAGGGAACAACTTTCAGGGAGAATAATCAGATACACTTCAGAATTCCACTACATCCCTCTCAACAGGAAGAAAGTACAAGGTTTCTAGACAATGGGCCCTTAAAGGGCATCTTACCAAAGGTATCTTGGTACTTAGAAGCTGGCTCGTTCCAGTTCACGTATGTGCTGTCCAGTAATGGCAAGCTCCCTCCAACCTCCATACGATTATTGTCTCCAATCTGAACGCCAGCACTGTTGTATATGGCATATTTTGCAGTCTCATCTGAATAGAGAGAAGCACACAGGTAAGCACACCTAAATTGAAAGTAAGGTGAAAAATGCAACACTGTAAAGGGCAGGGCTTCACTCCAAACATTTAAGTTAAACTCTTTATTCTATGCCACCTTGTAAAATTTTCCTTCTTAAAATGTGGCTGAACCACATCCATTAGGATGACTACTATCAAAAACAGAAAATAACAAGTGTTGACAAGGATGTAGAGAAACTGGAACTCTTGCGTGCTAATGGTGGGAATACAAAATGGTACAGCCGCTGTGGTAACAGTATGGCAGTTCTTCCAAAAATTAAAAATAGAATTACGCTATGTTCCAACAATTCCTTTTCTGAGTATATACTCGAGAGAATCGAAAGCAGAGTCTCAAACAGGTATTTACATCCCTATGCAGCAGCATTCACAATAGCCAAAAAGTGAAAGCCACTCAAGTGTCCATCAATACTAGTAGATGAATGGATACACAAAATGTGGTATATACATACAATGGGATATTATTTGGCCTTAAAAAGGAAGGAAATTCTGACACACATTACAACATGAACGAACCTTTAGAACATTATACTAACTTAAGTAAGGGTAAATACTGTATGATTGATTCCAGTTATGTGAGGTACCTAGAGTAATTAAATTCATAGACATAGAAAGTAGAAGGCTGGTTGCCAGAGTCTGGGAGGAGAAAGGAGAAAGGGGATTTGTTGTGTGAGGAGTAGAGTCTCAGTTCAGGAAGATGAAAAGAATTCTGGAAATGGATGATGGTGACAATGTTGCCTATAAACCAACACGTGTAGGCAGCTGCACTGAGTCCTACCCAAACTGAACTACCAGGGCACATGGCTGGATGGAGACTTCATGGTGTAAGCTGCATCTGGCAGCTGAAGATTGAACAATTTGCCCCTTTGTTACTTTATAGTCTACAACAGAGTTAACAGCTATTTTATTTTCAGGGAAAAAAAAGACAAGATTGGACTGAAAGGCCTGTTTACCTCTTGATGTCAGGGAGATGAATGGAATGGTGGGAGTGTTTCCCAGCATGTTGGTCTCAGGCACTGGAGTTTTATGCAGGCTGGGTATCTGGCTTGCATTTGGCCCAGACCAAAATCTGGAATCTATTGTTCCTGCACCCAATGGTCTTGCTCTAAAATCATACGGATTATATGGAGTCCAGTGGAGTCCTTGGGATTGGCAGGTCAGTCCAGCTGGTTGGTGTACTGCATTCCCAGGACTGGCTGTGTTAGAAGAAGCAAGGCCTTTCATCCCTGGGTTTTGAACAGTCTCATAAGGTCTTGGCTGTGCAAAAGGGTCATGGGAGACCCTTCGTCTCCTTTCCTCCTCTCTGTTGTAAGCCACACCCTGTGTGGGTTGCTGTTTTGTTTGCTTGTCCATGCGGCTGCCATAAAGATGGTAGTTGGCTTCCTCCTGGAGTTTATTTTGCAGGCTGCGCTCACTCTCCTCCTGCTGGTAGTCTGGGGAGGGAGCGAACCAGGACTCCTCCACAGGACCCATCCTGAGACTTTGTGAACTGTGCAGTGAACGGGGCTGTTCTGTGGCTGAGAAGAAATGTTCAACATTGGAGTTTCATGAAACATGAAACAGTAAAATGAAACCCAAGCCCCATAATGAATCTGTCCTGAGATTCATTATGAAAACACCGTGAATAAGTAAAAAGCATGTACTAGGCGGCCCTCTTCTTTTGTTTTTTGCTTTGTTTTTTGGTTAATCCTCACCAAAGGATATTTTTCTATAGAGAGAGTGGTAGGGAGGAGCTACAGAGAGAGATACATCGATTGGTTGCCTCCTGCATGCACCCTGACTGGGGCCAGGGATCAAGCCTGCAACCGAGGTACATGCCCTTATTGGAATCAAACCCTGAACCCTTCAGTCCACAGGTCAATGCTCTATCCACTGACCAAACCAGCTACGGCTGGCCCTCTTCTTTTATATGGAACTAGAGACCCAGTGCACAAAATTCATGCATGGGGGGTTGTCCTTCAGCCCAGCCTGCACCCTCTCCAATCTGGGACATCCCTCTCACAATCCAGGATGGCTGGCTCCCAACCGCTCACCTGCCTGCCTGCCTGATCACCCCCTAATCACGCCCCTGCCAGCCTGATTGATGCCTAACTGTTCACCTGCTGGCCTTATCGCCCCCAACTGCCCTCCCCTGCAGGCCATCTTGTGGTGGCCATCTTTGACCACATGGGGGCGGCCATCTTGTGTGTTGGAGTGATGGTCAACTTGCATATTACCTCTTTATTAGATAGGATGAGTAGGAGCCCCTGCCTGATAGTGAGAGAGCACTAGGGAAGTTATAACAAGCAATAAGGTGGGTATCACAGGAATGACCAAGGAAGAAAGGGATTTGTGTTGCTACAGTGAGGTGGCTGTGTCCTTGGTGTGATCCAGGGTTGGAAAATAAGAGCAACAGCTCTGGCTCTGGCTGGCTTTGCTAAGAGGTTAGAGTATTGGCCCATGCACCTAAGGGTTGTGGGTTCTAGTCCTGGTCAAGAGCACATACCTGGTTGCAGGTTTGAGCCAAAGCCCTGGTTGGGGCACATACGGGAGACAACTAATCAATGGCTCTCTCACATCCATGTTCCCTCTCTCTCTCCCCCTCTTCCCCTCCCTTCTACTCTCTTTAACCCATTGTACGCCATAAGCATCTATAGACACAAGCAGTGGACCTTCCCCACACGCCACATGCGTCTATAAAAAAAAAAAGATTTCCCTAAGTGGCAGCCCTGACCAACTTTAAAATCATTTTTCGTGAGAATTTTCAGCTGAAAATATTCAAGAACATCCGAATTGTGAGTAATATATTTATAATATTTATTGTAAATTGGTTTTTTTAAATTAAATTTAAAATATTGTGGCATGTGGGAATTATGTTTTGGACACATGGCAGTTAACTGGTTAAAAATCAATGGAAAAAATATCCTTGGGTGAGGATTAACAACAACAAAAAAGAGCAGCAGCTCTGTGCTAGCCATTTTCCATGGATTCTTTCATTCTTTAAAAGCCCTGTAAGAGTAGGAGTAATTATCATGATTTGATGGATGAGGTTTAAGAGGTTAAGTGATAGCTAATAAATGGCTTCAAACTCCTGTAGTCTGCCTTCCCTTTTGTTGTAAGGAAAAAGTATCCCTGCTTGACTCTGAGACCAACCTCCCTGCTTGTATTCCGGGTCATCTCTGGCTTTCTCAAGGACTTGGGAAATGTTTTTCCTGAGCCATCATTTTCTCCCTATCAGATATTTTGGGACTCATGTTCAGGAGAGTTTATGATTTTGGTGAACTCAATGCTACTTAACATTTCAAATATATGTATCTTGGCTCTGAATACATTATAAATTCCTTTATGACAGGTGGTAAATTGTATAGCTTCTTCTGTTTTTCATGCGGTTGTGAATAATATTTTAGAGAGTAGAGTGCATGTATGAGCAAAAAAATAAGTGGATAAACAGATTTTCAACCATAGTCTAAGTTACCTGAATTTGACCTGCTTGGAGGTATTGCTACACAGTCTAGTTGGAGAGACTGCATTCTCTTCACAACTTCATTTGGGCTAGGATACTCTTTCTATAATACAGAGCAAAATACATATTTTAGTAAACAGCAAAAATTGTTCTAGAAAATTATTTTAAGAAGAATGAATCTTTTCAGAAGGTAGAAATTTTACATAGCTCTTATAAGCAGTAAATATTTAAAAGAATAAATGTTTCTCCCAAATATTCAAAACAATTTTTAAAAAAGAGAACAAAGCTGGAGGGTTCACACTTTCTTATTTCAAAAATCTCTACAAAGCTAGAGTAATTAAGACAATGTGGTATAGCCTAAGGACATATAGACCGGCGATTTTCAACCTTTTTCATCTCATGGCACACATGAAATAAGTACTAAGTTCTGTGGCACACCCAAAAATATATTACATTTTTTGCTGATCTGATTTTTAAAAAAGGTATTTTGATTCATTCATGCCAGACAACTACTGTTGTACTGGCTGTTGTCATTTTTTTATTTCATAATATAAGGAAAAAGAGGTCAGTGTCCCTGACTAAACAGTCAGGTATTGCATGTTTTAAAAATTCTTGCAGCACACAGGCTGAAAATCGCTGTGCTAAGTGAATATGCTAGACACAAAAACATGAATATTATGTGATCACACATCAGTGAGGTACCTAAAATAGGCCAATTCATAGAGACAGAAAGTAAAATAGAGGTTACCAGGGGCTGGGAAGAGAAAAAAATGTGGAGTTTAATGGGTACAAAGTTTCTGTTTGGGATTTTAAAATGTGGAAATGGAAACTGCTGATGGTTGCACAACATTGTGAATGTACTTGTGCCAATGAACTATACACTTAAAAATGGTTATTACGATGGCAAATTTTATGTATCTTACCATAATAAAAATTTTTTCTACAAAATAATAATACTCATTATAGAAAATGTAGGGATTTATATTTAAAAAGAAAGTCACACATGTGCCTTCACTCAAAGAAAAAAAATTAACATTATGGCATTTCTTCAAGTCTTTTTTCTTAGTCATATTTGAATTTTGCTCCTAATAGACTGCAAGCTACATAGGTAGGTGGTTAAAAATATTCACTGAACAAACCATGAGTGATTTTGGGGAGACTGTTAGAGGATATTAATTATGTGCAAAGTTTGTAGCATTTTATAAATTGCTTTTTATATAACCTGATAAGCATTTTTATGTTATTTTCATTTATTAAAGTAACTAGAGGCCTGGTGCATGAAATTCGTGCACTGGGGGGTGTGGGACCTCCTCAGCCTGGCCTGTGCCCTCTTGCAGTCCAGGACCCCTAGAGGGATGTCTGCCTGCTGGCTTAGGCCCAATCCCCCTGGGTATCAGGCCTAAGCCTGCAGGCAGACCTCCCTCTCACAGTCCAGGGCTCTTGCAGTCTGGAACCCCTCGCTCCTTACTGCCCTCCTGCAGTGGATGCAGGAGAGGCTCCTGCCACCGCCGCTGCACTTGCCAGCCATAAGCCCAGCTTCTGGCTGAGCAGCACTCCCCCTGTGGGAGCATACTAACCACCAGGGGGCAGCTCCTGCATTGAGCGTCTGCCCCATTGTGGTCAGTGCACGTCATAGTGATCAGTCGTTCTGGTCATTCCACTGTTTGGTCAATTTGCATATTAGGGTTTTATTATATAGGATTGTTTTGTCTTGATACTTATGTTTTATTACACAAAATATATAAGTACAAATTCCTTTTAAAAGACTCAAATTGTGCACAATCACACAGAGCAACACCTGAATGTTGTTTCTTTCAACCCACACTCTTTTCCAGTCCCTAGAGGTAATCCTTACTCAGAGTAGGTTGTTCATCCTTTTAATCTTTCTGGTATTTGAATATGTATTTTGAAATATGTACATATGTACATATACACACACATATATTCAAAAGGATCATACTTTAAGTATATTTTGACATTTTTTCACTAACAACAAGTCTTCAAGATCTTTCTGTATCATTATATGTCAGTTCTATCTCTTTTAAATGGCTATATATTCTGTAGTTTCAATGAATCATAATCTAATATATTTACTTATAAATTATTTGGGTTGTTTCCAATTTTTTACTCTAAAAAACTAAGGTGCAAGGAACTCCTAGACCTAAATCTTTGAGCATACATGTGAGTAGATTATTAAGAGTAGAATTGCTACAACAATTACATGCTTTTAAAAGTTTCATAGATGCTTCATTTTCAATAAACTTCACCAATTCACACTCCATTTGTTGTTGTTGTTCATCCTTACTCAAGGATATTTTTTCCATGGATTTTTTTAGAAAAAGTGGAAGGGATGGGGAGAGAGAGAGAGAGAGAGAGAGAGAGAGAGAGAGAGAGAGAGAGAAATACATCGACGTGAGAGAGATACATTCACTGGTTGCCTCTCGCACATGCCCTGACTGGAGCTGGGGATTTAGCCTGCTATGGTACATGACCTTGACCGGAATCAAACTTGTGGCCCTTCAGTCCATGGGCCGACACTCCAACCACTGAGTCAAACTAGCTAGGGCAACCAATTCACACTCTTAACAAATAGTGCATGGGGAGTGCTTCTTACTCTGCATTTCACCAACAGTTGGTATTACCAATCTTTTAAAAATGTTGATCTTGCCCTAGCCAGTTTGGCTCAGTGGTTAGAGCATTGGCCTGCTGACTGAAGGGTCCCAGGTTCGATTCCGGTCAAGGGCATGTACCTTGGTTGCGGGCACATCTCCAGCAGAGGGTGTGCAGGAGGCAGCTGATCGATGTTTCTCTCTCATCGATGTTTCTAACTCTCGATCCCTCTCCCTTCCTCTCTGTAAAAAAATAAAAATAAAAGTGTTGATCTTAGTGATGAAAAATTATAATCAATTCATTCTGCTTTTCTCTATTAATGAGGCCACATATCTTTTCTATTGTCCATTGATGGACTCATTTGGCCATATTTTATTCAGGACCATCTTTCTATATTAAGTGTGATTGGCCTGTAATCTTCCTTTCTTGTATCTTCTTTTTCAAGTCTGGGGGGAAAGGATATGCTAGTCTCATAAAATGAGTGTGGGAGAGTTCTCTGCTCTATTATCTGGACAAATTTATAAGATTGAAATAATGTATTCATTGAATATTTGGTAGAAATCATTGATGAAGCTACCTGGCTGTGGAATTTTCTTAATGGGAAGAATTTTCCATCATTGATTCTATCTTTTTTAGTGGTTATAGGAATAGCAGGTTTTTAACTCTATTTGAGTCAGTTTTGCTAAGTTATACTTTAATTCTAGATATTCGCCCATTTCATCTAAGTTCTAAAATTAATTAGCAAACAGCTGTTCACAATATCCTCTTAATACCACATTGATGTCTACAGGAGCTATAGTGATGCCTCTTTAACTCATTATTTCAGTCTTCTATTTTCCCTGGTCTTAACTAGTTGATTTTATTAGCCTTTTCAAAGAACCAACGTTTAAATTTTTGATCCTCTATTAGCTGTTTTGTCACTAATTTATGCTCTTCTCTTCTTCCTGCTTTCTATTTGCTCTAGATTTATTTTGCTATCTTCTCTAGATGAATGTTTGGCTAATTCATTTCCAGACTTTGATATATATATAAATCAATGACTATATTTTACTATTAAGTACTCCTTTGCAAATTATGTACATTTTAATATGTAGCATTTTGTTAGCTCCAAATATTTTCTAAATTCCATTATTATTTTTTTTTTACCCAAAGGGTATTTAAAAGTATATTTGTTAACTTCTAACCAATGGAATTTTCTAATTATCTTCTCATTAATTTCTAGCATAACTGAAATGCAGTCAGAGAATGCAATCACTCTTTATGTGATCACAATTCTTCAAACTGATTGAGACTCATTTCATATTCCAGTACAAGGTCAATTTGTGAAAATGTTCTGTATGTTCAGAAAAGCCTTTAAAGATAAGTATTCTGCAGTTACCAGACATACTGTTTTAGATATTTCCATTAGGTCAAATGTGTTAATTATGTTCTTCAAAGTTTCTATATCCTTCCTGACAAATTTTGTTTGTTTGTTCTACAAATTAGAAGGAAATTTGTATTAAAATCTCCAACTATGATTGTGGATTTGTCTATTTCTTCTCTGAGTTCTGCCAATTTTTGCTTTCCATACTTTGAGGCCATGTTTTCATGAGCATGTACATATTTAAAGCTATTATAACCAACCTCGTGAATTGAACCTTTTATCATATGAACTATTACTGATTACTGTGCTAATGCTTTTCTGCCTTAGTGACTATCTTTCATGATCCCCCTTTGATGGCTTTCTTGGCTTGCAGTAGATGGCTCTCTTTTAAAGTGTGAAAGTCTGGCAATTCTTAACTGTCCAAATGTTTTTCCTTTTTTGTATTTTAAAATTGCTATTTGCCTGCCCGTTTTATTCACTGTAGTCTCCTTTTCATGATTCCAGCAGTATATTGCTGGAAGACTAATGACAGTAGCTCCTTTCCCAAGTGTGTAGGAAAGGCAGGTCTCTGCTCCCCTTTGTTGGTTAGTTGGTACTGTCTTTGACACACTCTCTGACTCCAGGCTTCAAACTTACCGCTTCAGCCCAAAGCAGCTGCTGCTTCCATTTGTTGCTCAGCACAAGGCAATTAGGGGGAGGAGCCAACTTGTATGACTGACACAACTGTGGACCCCCCCGAGTAATCTCCTTGCCAATGTCTTAGGTGCCACGCTGTTTCTTCTCTATATTGACTCAAGACATGTTCCTCTGGTACTTCTTCAGCACTGTGTTCTGGGTTAGCTTTGCCTTTTCTGTTACATGTTTCAGCAAATGTAATTCTGTTGGCTTTCTATTTTTCAAGACCTCTTCCAATTGACTGA